CCCCTCCCTCCAAGCCTTGCTGTGTGTCAGCAGCTCTCCTCCAGGAAGCCCTGGATGGATACAAGTTAGCAAAATCCACAGACAGCTCTTAAAAGGATCAGTCTCTCTGCCAGTGAATTACCAGCCAGAACAAAACAGTATTCTCCAAAGAAGTACAACAAAATCAGGACTCTAGACACTGAAGGTTGATACTACCCAGGATACGGTGAAAACTGACTAGCAGACAGCAAGCAAGAAAACACAATCTGTAACAAAACTAGAAAATTATTACTGATGTTGCTATGACCCAGATCATTGGATTGAAATCAGCACACAAGACCTTTAGAACGGACTTCCTAAATTTATTTAAGCACGTTATACGTTAACAGCAATGAATGAACAACTGTGGAATTTTAACAGAGACACAGACCTTGTGAAAAAAAGAAAAAGAACCAAATGGAAATACTAATATGAAAACGCACAATATTAGAGTTAAAGCATCAGCCAGCAGGATTCCCAATTACAGACAACAGGAGAGCCAGGAAACTGAAAACACTGACCAGAAATGCAGTATTCTGTGTTTTATTTAGCATTTGTTCAGACAATTAACACCCCACCCTTAGTAATCAGAATAACGTCTATAATCACAATCTAGTGCCATGCAATTAACTCTAGTTTATGCTAGATTATTTTTAAAATTGTAAATATATCACTCCATTTTTCAATGTTGAGGAGACTGGCTCCTATGATCTTTGTATTTTTTCTCACGACGTCCACGACTCAACAGTTGTATTATAAGTCTAAAGGATTCAACTGTTGAGTCTTGTGAACTTCATGTCATTTCTTCTGAGTGAAATGTTCTCCTGGCCATGCCTACTGGACCAATTCCTCTCTTTAAACTGAAGTCTAAACATTTTCTGATTTGTGAAGAAGTTTCACGTGGCAGGGGTAACCATAATACCATTCTTCCCTTGCCTATGTAGATTCAGACTCCAGGTTTCCCTTGTCCCTCCAGGGAATTCCAACGTTCAGAATTAGTGCCTTTAATAGCTAAGGCATTGAAGCTGTGATGGAGACACCACTTCAGTGTTTAGTTGCAGCAGCACTGAAGATTTGACAAAAGACTAACTAACCGTGAGTGGTGGAAATAGCAGAAGTTGCATGCAGCCCAACGATGAGTATCAAGCATGTTCCAGGCACCTACAGAACTCCTTCCCCCCTCATCTCTTGCTCCTTCCCTTCCCTCTCTGTCTAATCCCCCTTGCTCCCTTGCTCTCCCTCTCTCTCATTTTCAGCTCCACTCTTATGAGGTCAGACTTCCACCTATGTTCTCATTGGTGTAGAACCCTTCTATGTTCATGATCGTTTACTTTTCAGTTGCATTTCAGATTGGTGTCAAAGGCTGCAGCTCACATTGCAGCTTTTGTCCTTGCAGACAACTTGGGAATAGTTCAGCTTTCACAGCTAAATGAGTATGAACCTTTGCAATCCATAAAATAAATAGCATGAAAATCCATCCCATCAGATTTGGCAGCTTTACAAAACTGCCCTGACCCTTCTCATGACTCTTGGATTCTCACTTTTAGTTTGAGACAGAGAGTAGGAGGCTCTGATATATTTAATACTTGTGAGAACCCCTATAAGTTTGGAAAGGGTATCAAAGGAGAAATCTATGCAGAAAGGAGAGGTGGAAGGGGACCTATTTCTGCCCTCTCAATGGACCTACAAGAGAGACTCAGCTGGGTGCAGCAAGGAGCTAGTCTGTATTTCTCTCTGGAACAAAGTAAAGAGGTTGGACAGTAGGATCCAGAAGTCTCCTGAGACACAAGAGTGGATTTCTTTTTTCTTCACTCTACTTCTACATTCCCAGAAAGCTGAAACAGGACCTTTTAGGGGTCCTGCATGAGCCTCCTACTAACCCGTCCAGTTGGAATCGATTTCTGCTGGGTGGGTAAATTGTCTCTTTTATGTTAGTGGGCTGTTGATCCAAACAAATGGAGATGGTTTGACCCAATATTAATGTTTTCCACACTGTTCCTACTTAATCGTTCCATGTCAACCCAATCTTAATCTGGGAGACATTAGCAAATCAGCTACAGTAACTGTGAGACTCAAAGTGGGTATCAGCTTTTGAGATTGTTCATGAACTGAAAGTTTGTTATAGTAATTGTCATCATTATAACATAATAATTCAATAGTTAGTTTTAAAATGGATTTTGGTAGCTTAAATGGTTAAATATTGTAAAAATTACCCAGAACATTTGGAGAGCCTTTTGATGAATCAAGAAGTTGGGATGATCACAGGTGGTGGTAAGGAGTTCCACAACAACCACTGATTTATGACGAAGATCAGCACCATGTGTTAAAAGCAGGCCTGTCTTGTAAACCTGTGGAGCTTGAAGAATTGGAGGATTCTCCAGACCAGTCCTGATCACTTGTAGATGAGGAAATAGCTGTAAAGAAGCTGAACCATTTCCTCAGGCAGCATAATTAAAGAAGGCAGAAGCACAAGTTGTTATGGTAAAAGCAAAATACTGCAGATCCCCGAGTGTTTGCAGACAGCAGTGGATCCTGAGAGCAGCCAGTCCCAGGCAGGGATGGAACAGTTCCCCAAGTGGCTGCATTGGGTCACGACGGGCAGTGAGCCCCAGGCAAAGAGCTGCATGGTGGGTGAGAGACCTCGACAGGGCAGCTAGTCCCACAAAAAGAGACAGACAGATGGGATACCATGAGACCATGTCGCAGGTCTCCAAAGGCAGCTGGTCCTGGGCAGGAAGCCATGCGGTGGGCAAGAGACAGAGACATGGATAGGCATGCCATGCAGAGTGAGGTTAGATATTTATTTAGTGGATTATGGAGTTGAAAGGGGAGAATGGGGGAGAAGAGGAGAGAGAGAGAGAGAGAGAGAGAGAGAGAGAGAGAGAGAGAGAGAGAGAGAGAGAAACAGAAGAGGGAAGGGGAGAAGTGGGGAGAAGGGAGAGACAGAAGCTGCCTTGCCTTGACAAGGTTTCTCACCTACCACCACGTAGCTCCCTGCCTGGGATTGGCTGCCTGTTGTGGCCCAGTAGAGCCATTTGGGGAACTGCGCCATCCATGCCTGGGACTGGCTGCTCTCAGGACCTGACCCCACTGCAGTCACTTGGGATCCTTAGCATTTTACTTTTAGCATAACAATGGTACCATGATTTGTCCAGGTTCTCCATGTTTCCTCCCACCCATGGGTGGCCATCTGAGGACACCTGGAACTCTGGGCTCAGGAACCAAGTTTCTTTATAACAGATCTCCATTCCACCTGAGTGTGACTTCTATGCACACCACTGGCTTCAATTGGTGAGTTTCCCCCAATCTGATTAGCTTAATCATTTCTCCGAACCTGAGGAATTGACTGTTATGCTCCTGGCAATTTTCTGGTGTTCTTAGAAATGGGGGGACAGCACCCAACCATGGTTTTAATGACTACGGTTGAGTCCTTCACTGACATTAATCTCTGAATTACTTTCCTTAGCTGAAATTATGTTTGGACAACCCAGGGTCAGTAATCCCACAACTGGGGGCCTAGAGTCCCTCAAATTTTTCTTCCTCCTCTTTTCTTTTCTTTTCCTTTTCTCCCCACCATGAAAGGCTGCTCAGAGAAGCCTTTGGCCTTTCTGGCTTCCGAGTCACCCTGACCAGATCCTGCCAGGCTTTAGCACCCTGCCTGCAGGTAAAGGATGCTCTCCTACAAGCCCTGTGGTGTTTGCCATTGACTTACATGCCACCTATAGAGGGAGATGTCTTCCTATAGGCCTTGTGGTATCGCCACATTTTGTAGGTTTTCACAGTTTCAGCTATGGGTAGCAAGCCATACATGTCCGTCAATCCAGCCTCCCCCTGGGATGCCTTTTAGAGGCCCTAAAACCCCAGGCCTTAATGCCCTACTTCTTCAGCTCCTACCCTCACTCCACCGGTGTCCCACCAACTCCACTTTTATGGGAGCTTTCTAAATACTATCAGCACACAGGCAAATGAAAGGAGTTTCCTCAAACTGTCCCTGCCACCTCTACTGCTGCCAACAGATTGGTCAGATCCACAAGGTGGCTGTTTTCAATCCTAACTTTTTGCTCCCCATTGCAGCTTGTGGCATGGGGGTGGATCAGGTCTCTAGGTCTCTCTTATTATTAAACTTAAAATCTCTGCAGCTCAAAAATTGTGGCTTTTCCATACAACATGTGACTGCTGCCATTTTGACTGAAGTCAGGCCACCTTACTACTGTCTTAACTGAGGTCAGGTGACTTCACTCCCATTTTAACTGAGTGGCTTTTCCAAACAACATGTGACCACTGCCATTTTGACTGAGGTCAGGTGACCTTACTACCATCTTAACTGAGGTCAGGTGACTTCACTGCCATCTTAACTGAGAGTCAGGTCAGGTGACCAAGTCCTCCCATCTTTATTGAGGTATTCCCTGTCTGGTCCCCTGGCGCTGACTCTGTTGCATGTGTGTTTTGCACAGTGGCATGCCTTAGATAGGACCCCAAAAGAGCATCTACTTCACCTAATTCCTGTTCCCTCTGTGTGTGTGTGTTCATACATGTAACTTAAGTGCACCTATGTTTACTGTTAAATGTTATAATTATCTGTTTATTGCATCTCATTCCAGACTACAAAGCAATAAGTTTCATGGTTTAAATTGGTATGTATTTTAAGTCTCTTACAATAATACGGTATATTTAATCCAACCCTGATTAAAATATATTAAGCTGTTCTCTACTATTGTCAGTTCTGCTGTTAGCCTTCTATTGCAAGCAGTTTTTTCTTCTTTCTGTCTTTTTACGAGTATAAGTCTTACCTGTTAAGTTAAGAGCCAGTACAGCCAAACTCAGACCCAACTCTCCAGGTAGAATCTATACTATAGTTACACCTGAGAAGCAGCCCTCAAGGCTCAAAGATCTGAGGAATATGGTATTTAAATATTTAATTATTAAAAGACAATTTTTATAACAAAAAGAGACAGGTTGGCTCCTAGCAGCAGCACCCTACTTCCTCCAAAGAAGACAGAAGACAAATGGGCACACAGAACAATGTCCATCAACAATTCGTTTCAACTGTCAAGCACTGACCACTGGGAAAAACTGCCTTCCATCTGAACTAAAGATTATCAGACAGTGGAAAGAATCACTGGAATCAAGAGCCTAGTTCCTCAGGTCAAGGTAGGCTTGCTTTTCTTCCTACAGATTTCTTAGCCCACAGGATCTTCTGAATCCTTGCAGGCCCTGTGCTAAACAACAAAAGGCAAATATGACCTTCAGCGACCGCGACCATGGAAGACCCTGAGGAGTAGCTCTAGGTGCCAACCAAGTAAGTTCTCTGTCATTTTTAAATCAATAACTCAAGTAAAATTTTATCCTTCTCAAAAATCTCTGATGCAGTTTGACAGCTAAGAGGTTTTACAAGTTTAAAAGGACAACCTCACCAAACAAATTTCAGTGAAATACAAATACAAGTTAATAAGGTGTTCACCTGCAAGTTATAAAGGTGTGAGAACAAATGCAAGTTATCAAATTTCTCTCTCTCGCTGCCTTTCATAGTCTTAAAAATACTTTTCATTGTGCAAAAATATCTGTTATAGTCATTCTGACATAAATATACTACCGTTTATACAATGTATATGTCTAAAACTTCTGTTTTCACAAACCCAAAAAATTCTTGTGAGTTCCAGGGAGCCAAATTGAAGGATCCACTTTAAGCAAGTCAGATACACCCCCTTCAATTCCCTGGTCCTAAAAATGCTTTTTTTCCCCCTTAACTTTGTCCTCTGTTCTGCCAATATCTTAAACAGGTGTAGGACACACCAGAAATTTCTATACCACAAACAGTAGACAGGAGCAAAGAGTCTAGCTACCACCAGGATGTGACCAGCACCCAACTTTCTCAGGTCCTCCACCCAAGGCAACACCCACAAATAAGCAGGAAGCAGTCTCGAGAATCTACTACCCAAGTTCCTTTAACCTGTTGTGCCTAAACTCCTGCCTTTTTGTTATAAAAAAAAGAGAGAGAAATGGAAATGCCCCTTTAAGAGACAAGCCATGCCCACTTCCTCCCTACTTCCACTGAGGCAAGCTGATCTTCAGCTTCCATTCTGAGTCCCTCCCTTTTTTTCTGTCTCTATCCCAGAGAGGTAGCTACTGCTGTGGCTCCTCTCCCCCCACTCTGTTTCTCTCTCTCTCTCTCTTTCTCTCCTCTTCTCCCCTTCTTCCCTTTACCCTACATAACTCACTAAATAAATATCCAACTTCTTTCTGCATGGCATGCCTATCCATGTCTCTGTCTTGCTGCCCCGGAGACCTGCAGCGTGGTCTCATGGCATGTCTATACATCTCAGTCTCTCAATCATCCACATGGCTTTCTGCCTGGGACTTGCTGCCCCTTATGGCCCACTGTAGATACTTGGGAAACTACACGGTCCGTGCCTGGGACTGGCTGCCTGCTGCAGCCACTTGGGGATCTGAAGCATTTTACTTTTACAATTACCCAAGTCACATGTCAATGTAGAGTTTCTTAGCTATCAGGCAAACATTGATCATGTGATCTTCCCCTACTCAGAGTCCCTGGGGATAGACACTGTCCAGTTTACACTAGTCTATCCTGGACTCACTTTTCAGACCAACCCCTGAACATACACTTTGGGGATTCTCTAAAAAGCTAGTATCATTTTTTTCTCAATTTAAAGTGGAGATTTAAATGCTCCTAGAAGCAATTTATTATATCTCTAGTTTATGTGCAGGGGTCCTATTGAAGATTACATTTGGAATAAAGAACTCTGCAACTGAAAATTCTATAAAAACTATTGATCTAAAGAAAAATAAAATGTTGAGGAGTGGGATGAATGAAATTTATCTGGGTGAGTATCCGCTGAGGAACGGAAAGCATTAAGTGAACAAGAGAACCGTAGATTCTTCTAAGTGTGTGTGCATGTGCATACAAATTCACCTGTGTATGTTGCATGTAAGGCATTGTGTGGGTGCCTGCATGTGTACCTGCATGATGTTAATATTAGATGTCTTTCTCTATTACTCTCTGCCTTATTGCTTTGAAACAAGGTCTACCACCATTTTGGCTGCCCAGCAAACTCCCAGGATACACCTGTCTCCACTCCCCAGTTCTGGGATTGCAGACATGTGAGGTCACAGTCAACTTTTTACATGGGTATTGGAGACTCAAACTCAGATCTCCATGCTTTCACAGGAAGAGTTCTAATCCCCTGGGTCTCACCCCAATTCCCTCACCTAGTATTATCTAAGAAGCAAATGTGTAAATGTGCTACCTGTGGGAAGAGGATATTTTGGGACACCCCGGGGCTAGCAGAAGGTCTTTATCACTCTCTGTTACTAAGAGTCTATCTGTGGTAAGAAACTCCTATTATTACACATCAAAATCAGATCCAGAGCACACATGGCTCTATGGTATAAGGACAGATTAATCCAGGTTTTGAGCAGTGCCTAAAACCTAAACTGGTCTCCATGTTCCTAAAGGTAATCCTAATTAGCTATTTAAGCGTTTCTGTGAGCAAAAAAAACCAGAGAATCCTTTAATTATTTTTAAGGGATTCTGTAATGATTAATCTCAATTGTCAACTTGATTTAGTGACATCATGCCTAGGAGATTGTTGACACACACTTCTGAGTGTGTGTTTGAGGAACTCTCCAGAGATGATTAGATCATTAAGTCTCTGACATGACTACAGGATTAACCCCTTGAAGGATTCATAGATAAGGTAAGAAGTATGTTCTAGTTGGAAAAAGTAGGTCACTGAGGCCATGTTCTTGGGAGCTGCACCATCTAGGAATTTCTGTCTGCAAGTCCTTTTCTTCCTGTCTGTCATGAATGTGTTCCTCTTGGCAGGTGATGGCTTGCAGGGGACCCTGGAATGGCAGTAAAGTAACCACATACTGAACCCTCTGGAACTGTGATGCAAAACCAACTGTTCCTTTCTCATGCTATTTCTGTCAGGGGCTTTGTCACAGTGATGACAATAGAGCTGCAATAGCCTGATGAGCTTCACCAGGCTTGGTGGCACATGCCTTTAATCCCAGTGCTCAGGTGGCAGAGGTAGTGAGACTTCTGTGAGTTCAAGGCTGTTCTTAACTATGCAGTGAGTTCTAGGTCAGCTGAAGCTATAGAGACCCTGCTCCAAAAAATAGAAAGGAAGGTAAAAGAAAGAAAGAAAGAAAAAGGAATGAATGAAAGAAAGAAAGAAAGAAGAGAAGAGAAGAAAAAGAATACCTCAAAATAAAATAAAAAATAGCCCGAAGTATTAGGAAGAAGACAGAGAGATGAATAATTTTTCAGTGAGACTCAAACAATTTTGTTTAAGGACTGTTTACTTGTCCTATAACCTGCAATAAAAATATAATTTATGTAACATACCAATACACATACATGGAAAGATAAATAAAACATTACTAAATGCAGCATACAGTATTTTCCATTAGTATGACACACAATCCTTTCCTCTCCTCTTCTCTCCGCATCTTCATCTCCTTTGCTCTCCCATCCAAGTCTCTCATTGCAGATTGTTTCTATATTATTTCAACGCTAGGTTTTAATCAAGAAACTAAACCCTAATATGACATTAAGGTCATCTGCTTACATGTTCTGTACCTTTAAAACATTGATTTGGGGAACAGCCTGGCGGGTAGTAGTTAGATGACTTATTTTAAAGCTGAATTTACCTCATGGATGACCATAGACTGAAACCAGGTCAATTTCACACACTGATGAAGGTAGCAGGTTGAGATTATGGAGTCCAGTGACTCATACCATAAGCTCTCAAAGTTGTGTAATTGGATGGGGTAGGGAGGGTCAGTATAGCTTATCCCAGGAGAAGTCTTTGTGCTTAAGGGCAGAGGTGTCTTGAGACAACTGAGCAGGATCTAGGACTGCAAAAGGGGTCTTCTTAGGGAGTTCTAGAGAGGAAGATGAGCACAATAGAAACTGGGCTCTTGCAGTCTCATTAGGGATTATGTTCCTAGGGGTAGGAAGATGCAAACATCAGTAGGTAAGGCTTCCAGGCAGGCTGTGTTTATTTTAAATTTACATTCCCCATCTCTTTTAAAAGAGTTAAGGATGTACCATCTTAAAGTACAGCAAGCTGTCTTGTTGATTATTTCAAGCTATAAATCACACAGTGAAGTGTATCTCTGGAAGAAGAATGCATTCTGTCTGTTCCTCCTTCGCAAGAATGACAGTCAAGGCTTCTGTGTAAGAGATTTTGTTTTCCCTATTCCATGACCAAAAATTCATCTTTCATCCCCAGAGAGTGATAATTAGGTCCGTGACGAACCTGAATAAATAAATTCTCCATTTCAGCCTTAACTACGAGCAGTTTCATATCCTGTAATCTCTTAATGATGCTTTAGAATTTCATTTTAAAATTTTGTTTATGGGTAGTATGTATACCACATGTCTTAGTTAGGGTTTCTATTGCTGTCAAGAGACACCATGATCACGGCAACTCTTAGGAAGGAAAACATATAATAGGGGCTTTCTAACAATTCAGCAGTTTAGTCTATTATCATCATGGTGGGACATGGGGACATGAAGGCATACATGGTGCTAAGAAGCATCTGAGAGTTCTATGTCTAGATCCACAGGCAACAGGAGGTGACCTGTCTTCTACACTGGGTTTAGATTGAGCACAGAAGACCTCAAAGCTCAACCCCACACTGATACACTTCCTCCAACAAATTCACACCTCCTAATAGTACTACTTCTTTTGGAAGCCATTTTCTTTCAAACCACATTGTTCAGGTGCCCAAGAAGACCAGAGAGATCCTTCGGAGCGTGAGTTGCAGGTGGTTATAAGCTTCCTGACACGGATGCTAGGAACCTAACTCTGGTCCTCCAAATCAGTCAGTGCTTTTTAACCTCTGATCTACTTCTCCCATGTTCCTTTAAAATTTACAATCTCACTCCACAGGCCTTTCTGTCATGTCATTTCATCCATCAGTCTTTGTCAAGAAAGCATTACATCATCTAGCTATTTCTTCAGAGTTCACTGTTCTTTGGAGATACACATGCCTGGACAAACAATTACTATGAAAATATCTCTTACTTTCAAAGGGACTGGAACTTTTGCTGGACCTCACAGTTGAGTTAGCAACACACGTTGAGTCACTTAAAACCCAAGACTGATATCCTATTGTCTACT